TTTTTCCCAAGGAAAACCAAAAGAAAGAGGAGAGAGAGAAGAAACCCTTCAGAGTCTTTCAGACCGATCCATGGATGACGTAATCAAGCGAAGCGCTCTGTTAAACCACAGGTACACCGGGGCCTGGATGCGCTCCACTGCGTGCCAAGCTTTGCTCAACCGCCAGAGGCGCACTTGTTTTCTTTTGTGCCTGCTGCCAGCAGCCATTGTGGTCTGGTAGGCCCATGGCACGAAATATTAGGAGTAGGCGGTGAAACTTTTTCAGCAAGGCTGGGGCAGTGTACTACCGGTTTAACTCAGCAATTTGCCATCTTTCCTTTTCCTTCCACCTTTTCCCCCTTCTGCGCCACATTTTTGTCTTTTCACGTTTCAAGGGTGGTGCGGCGAGGCCCAAAATCATGCTACTGTTAACTCAGCAACTTGTCATCCTTTCTTTTCCTTCCACCTTTCCCCCCTTCTCCATACACTTTTTTCTCTTCCCGTTTTTTTTCCCCTTCTCTCCTCAACCCTTTCTCCTTTCTATGTTCCACCTTTCTTATTCCTAGTACCACTTGAAACCTGAACACGGGAGAGCAATGAAGTGGATCCCGGCCCAGGCATTGACAAATAAGATCCCCATCCCTTGACACATCAGTCAGCAGGCACATGTATACCTGATACGGCTGCTGGTTTTCCTTTTTTTTCTTTTCCTTCGGAGACCCCATCCTGTTTTTTTTCTTTTTGGTGGGGGGCGAGGTCCAATCCGGCGCCTTTTCCCCCCCACCGAGTCATAATGATTTCAACCATTAGCATCATTCGATTGCCTTCTGATAGACAAGGATTAAACCACCAGTACTCCGCCCAGCTATTGATGATGCGCCTAAATTCGGCCTGCGGCATGCTTTTGGCTGGTGTCACCACCCATTTCGGTGACACCACGCAAAAACACAGTACTGTAACTGTTCAGGCCTACAGGAGGATGGCATCCCCACTCACACAAGCCAAAACGTACTTGGGGGTTATGCACACCCCTGTAAGAGACAGGGACCTGTAAGAGCCAGGCCTAGCTTGTCATTCTGTGCCAGCATGATATAATGCTAGACTTGTTCCAAATCACATGTGTGCTTGTGGGTTACACCCACCCACCGATGTAAAAGACAGGGACGTGTCAGAGCCAGCCCTCACTTGGCGTTCTGTGACGGCATGATGTAAACCTATATCTGTTTCAAACCACATTTGTACTGCTAACACAGGCCAAAAAGTATTTGTGGGGTAGGCCCACCCGCGTACAAGACAGGGACCTGTCAGAGCCAGGCCTGCCAGCATGATGTAAACCTAGACTTGTTTCAAACCACATTATTTTGCACCAGCTTACTAAGCAGAGAACTTTGTGCCTCTTGTGGACAACAAAAATAGGCTAAACCCAATGCCCCAGGGACCCACAGGGTCAGGCATACAACAAGACTCGGAACCGCCAAGGGCACGAGGCTGTTAGGAGGCAATGGACCAGCTTCCCTCAGCTTCCATCTTTCACTTTCCTCTCCCTTATTTTCATTCAACGATGATTACTATCCCACCCAGCTACCACGCAGCGCTGCGCCGGTTCATTCAGAACCAAGGTCAGGCTCGACCTACCTGAGGCAAAAGGCTGGTGGCACCTGGTAGGCCCCTTTGCCCCACGACAAGTCAGTCAGTAGACCAAGGGCCCGCAAAATCGAAGAGATGCCCCAGGGCACTGGTGGTTTAAGCTTGCCCCAAGTTTCAATAGTATTTCATATTTTTTCTATACATATCATCATCATCTTTAGCATCATCATCATTAGTATGATTATCTCACAGTTTACACAGAAATTCATCATCATCATCGTCATCATCATCATCATCATCATCATCATATGAGGGACGCTGAGCCGGGTTCTCAGCATGTTCTGTTCGGTCACTCCGGGTAGACTGTGAGGACCCCGGCCTCGATCTTCTTATTGGTAATATTAGCCTTGGGCACTGGGCCCGTTTAAACCACCAGTACCTCGCCCAGTGTTGGGAAATTAGGGAAAACTGGCAGTTTTCCCAAACTCCTGAAAATTCAGAGGCCGGGCCCCACGACGGCTGCCATTGATAAATCTGATCGGCGGCGGTCGTTTCGTTTCGGCCATCCGAAAAGGTCGGAGGCCCACCCGAGGCCCGCTACTTTCCCACGCGGCAAAGGTACTAGTGGTTAAACAGAAAAAAACAAAAAAAACAAAAAAGATCCGTTGGCTCCATTCCCATAGGCCCAGCCTGACAGCAGCCCCGTGTTAAATGCCGTGTTCTCAAGTTCTCTCACGAGTAGCCAGGTGAGTACTGGGGATAACGGTGGGGTGGCCCTGCCATTTTGTTCCGTAGCGGATATACACCTGCCACAACTTTCAGGGCTCAGGACCATGAAAACGGCAGGGCCTCTCCCCGGGCGGTAGTGGTGTCTGCTCTTATCAGCACCACTATCACCGGTGGGGGTGTGTTTAAAAAAAAAAAAAAAAAAAAAAAAAAAAAAAAGGGGGCTCAGGGGCCTCGACCCACTAGCCAAGCGTAAATCGGTGTGTGGCATGCGAAATGTGTTAAAAAAATAGGAAAAAATGGTTTTCCTGCATTTTATTGTCCCCCATTGACAAGGAGCCCGCAATAATGACTGACATCCGTCATTATTACACCATATCCGTTTCATTCCAATACATGCATGGATTCACCCCGACATTGCGGGCATGTGCGCCCGCCCTTGTGATAGGGGCATGAATACAAGGCCGAATGAGTGGGCACTGACACCACATTTCTCGCCTTTATTTGTGGGCACTGCACAAAAACGACGCCGTTATTACTTCCATTCGTCATTTTTTTCTGACTTTCCAAGCGAAAATCCGTTGGCGCGAAGCTTGGATATCACCCCATGGGTAAAAAATTGTTGTTATTGAAGCTTCGCGCCAACGGAAAGTGGCCAACAAAAACACCAAAAAAAAACAAACAAACTTCCTATTGGCCGTCATCCGGGAAAAAAACGCTCGCCCTACTCGTAAACATCATCACGGTTGATGTGGAGGGCAATCGGCGGCTGTTTTGCGTCACCCCGGGCCACACGGTGATCGAGAGCCCAGCCTCCAAGCGTAACGTTTGGCTAGTGGGTCGAGGCCCCAGGACCATGAAAGGAGAAAAGAGGCTCCAAGGTGCTCGTGGTTTAAGATGGGTCTTCCGTGTTCTGTTCTTTGACACCGGTTACCTCCGGGCATTCCTCAAGAAACTGACTCGACTGGGTGAGCCGCACACATGTGACTGTTGATAAACAGACCACGTGT